GCTGGGACCCGGAACGTGCCCGGGAGCCCGCGGCGCCGTGCGCGCTGGTGAGTTTGCCGGCGGGGCGGGGTGGCCCCCTGCGCGGGGGCGGAAAGGACGTCGCGCGCGGGCCCTGCGTCCGCCCCCTAGTGCTGTCCCCACTTTGAGAGTAATTGAGACTCGGGCGTGACTGCGGAGCGGCGAGGATGCGGGCGCCCGGCGCGGGCTTGCTCTCTGCCCCGCGTGATGGAGCGGATCGGTGAGCGGAACAAAGGCGCCCGCCCCGGGGCGCGGGTCCTCGGCTGAAGAGCGCCGGCGGCGCGCCGCGACGGCTGTCTGCGGGCGAGGGTGGTGGCCGTGCGGCGCGCTACGCCGCGGGAGGGCGGCGAGCGCCGAGCCTGGCACCTGCGCGCCGCTCCCTCCACCGCTCTCGGGCAGCCCCGCCTGCCGGCCCCGGGGTCTGAAGCGCCGGCGGCCCGAGGTCCGGAGGCGAACCCCTTGCTGGTGGAGAGGAGAGACCCCCGGCCCCCGGCCTTTCGCCAAGACTCCGGGTGGAAGCCGCGCGCCGCGCACTGAGCAGGCGTCTCGGGGAGCACTTCTGCAACCCGGGGCTTCCTTGTGAGCCACTCCGTTCTCCCTGCGACCGCCCCGTCCTCCCAGCGGTCTCCGCTGCCCAAGCATCGGTGCCGTGGGGCTCCCCGGCTGGGGTTCTCGCCGGCCGGCCGGCGTGGGAGACTCGCACGGCCCCGGCTGCCCCGCGCCTCGCCGGAGCCCGAGGGGTCGCGGGTCCGGGGCGAGGGCCGGTCGGGCTCTTTGATGGCTTCACTGAGAAGAGTCAAAGTGCTGCTGGTGTTGAACTTGATCGCCGTGGCCGGCTTCGTGCTCTTCCTGGCCAAGTGCCGGCCCATCGCGGTGCGCAGCGGAGACGCCTTCCACGAGATTCGGCCGCGCGCCGAGGCGGCCAACCTCAGCGCGCACAGCGCCAGCCCCATCCAGGATGCGGTCCTGAAGCGCCTCTCGCTGCTGGAGGACATCGTCTACCGGCAGCTGAACGGTAAGGACGCGCGCCGGCGCCCCTGGGGCTCGGCGCGGGCGGGCAGGGTACTGGGTGAACGCCGGGGCCCTGCGCCCTGTGCCCGGGACCCGGCACCCTCTGCCTCGAGCGCTCCCTCTTACCCTCCCTGCCCCGTCTCGGGCAGGAGGCCGGGGCTGCTGGAAAGAAGAACTACCTGCTTCTTTTCCGGGCCCCAACTGCAAGTTTGGTTTTATCCTGGAAACATGTCAGCGCAGTTGTCTCCTGGACCCCGCGTGCGGGCAGGAAATCATTCCCCGGCGACTCCAGCACGAGCGCGGAAACTAGTGGAGCGGCCAGATGGGACGGGAAGCGCAGGGCTGACGTCTAGGAGAAAATAGTTTAAGAGCCCAGCGTTTGGTGGGCGTCTGGTGGGGAGGGGGCGTTAGGAGGTTTAGGTGCCTGCAGCAGACAAAGCTGAGGCCCCAGGTCGTGGAAACCGATGCGCTTCGGTAATAAGTTGGATGCGCATGTCATCTCCGTGAAGCGGACTGCACAGCCCATGACCTGAAGGAGGCTGCTGTTTAAAACACACCCGGTTTCTCCTTGGGAGCTGCGGAGGGGCCACTCTTAAAGTTCTCGGTAGGCCTGGGAAACAGGTATTTACAGAGCTTAGCAAAGTGAGGTGTGGCATCTAATTAGTGACAATGGTCAGAATTTGTCCCATCTGAACTGTCCTCCTCAGTGCTTCAGGAGAAGAGAGAGAGACTTTTCATGCGCCCTGTTCCCCCACCCCCGGGACTAGGTGGGAGTGAGTGTTACCCACTTTAGCACAGATGGCTTTTCGGGGTCCAATTATCCAAGGCAGATAGATACAGTACTTCTTGGTACAGGCTGCCTTCTCTCTCCCTCCCTGAGCATCTCTCTCATGTTCTCGCACCAACCGCAGACAGTCATAAAGAGCATGATAATAATCACTGATGGAATTCTTGCTGTTTGCCAGATGCCATGCGAAGACATTATAAGTGCATTGTCTCACTGAACGCTCACATGGATCTGGGGAGATTCCCCATCCCCACATGGGAAATGAAGAAACTAGGCAGGGGGTTAACTAAGTTGCCCAGCGTCTCGCTGCTAGTCAGTAAGAGAGTTTGGAGTCAGAGTCTAGTGTCTAGTTGGCCACAGAGCCTGTGTTCTTGGCCACTGGGCACAAACGTCTACCTACAGTCTCCTCCTATTTACAAGAGTATGAGTTTAATTGAAAAAAGAAATATGTGGCGCCGCAAATACAGCCACACACCTGTGTGCATTTGCGGACCAGACTCAACCATCTGCACTGTGGTGAGAGTGAGACCAGGCCGGTGGCAGGCGGCAGGTGGCAGGGAGGAGGAGGATGCCAGCCTGTTTTCTTCCCGTTCACTGATGGTCCCTTCTGGCTAATTCCAGAGGGTGGTGTGGTCAGATCTTGGAGCACATGAACAGTCTTCTCCATGTCACTCGACAGGTGTCCAGGGGATACCTTGAACAGGGGGCGAGGCCTGGCAGTTGGGGTAGTCTGTGGGAGTCATACAGAAGCTCCTCTCCCAAGTGTGTGAAATCTAAGGCACAGAATGAAACAAAAGCCTGTAGTCCATTTCTGGAGGAATCAGAAGCTTATGGGGGTGAGCCTTTTTGGCACAGATCCCTGCCGTAGACGTATATTCATAGGACCCCAAAGTATACTTCGAGTACCCTCACTATCAGGCTACTCTCGGGGACATGGGTCATTTTAGCATTAGTTTCAGTTAAGAGTGTTGAATATGGATGGGCGCTGTGGCTCAAGCTGGTAATCCCAGCACCTTGGGAGGCCGAAGTGAAGGGAATGCCTGAGTCCACGGGTTTGGGAACAGCCTGGGCAACTTGGTGAGACCTCATCTTTACAATTAAAAAACAAATTAGCTGGGTGTGGTAGCCCATGCTTGTAGTTCCAGTTACTTGGAAGACTGAGGCAGAAGGATCACCTGGGTCCAGCAGGTCGACGCTGGGGTGGTCGTGAGCGTCCCATTGCACTCCAGCCTGGATGATGGAGTGAGACTCCAGCTAAAAAAAAAAGAACATTAAATATGATATAGCCACACTCCAAGCCTCCCTAATAGAAATAATAAAATTTGATATGGTGCATTCTACGTGTCACAGACATACACGAACACACAGTCTTATTTATTTATTTAGATGTTTTTATTCTTTCACCTAGACTGGAGTGTAGTGGCATGATCAGAGGTTACCGCTACCTCCTGGGCTCAGGTGATCCTTCTGCCTCAGCCTCCTGAGTAGCTGGGATGACAGGCATGCACCACCATGCCCGGCTAATTTTTCATGCCTGGCTAATTTTTAAAAATGTTTTTCAGGAGTCAAGGTCTCACTGTATTGCCCAGGCTGGTCTCCAACTCCTGGGATCAAGCAGTCCTCCTGCCTCAGCTGGGATTACAGGCATGAACCACCACTGCTGGCCTCCCATCTAGTCTTTACAGTGACCCTATGAGATAGTTGCCTCTTATTGCTTCCTGGGTAACTTGCTCACAATCATCCTGCTAGTGAGTTTCAGAGCTGGGAATTGAGCCTGGACCATCCGGCTGCAGAGTGGAGGTTCTTGGCAGCTGTACCAGCGTGTCTCAATCTTTAGCATATACATCAGAATCACTTGGAGGGCTTGTTAAGACAGATTTCCAAACTCCATGCCCAGAGTCTCTGATTCAGCAGGTCTGGGTGGGGTCTGAGAATTAAACTCTCTACAAAGCTTGTGGCTGGGACCAGGACCCACTCTGCCCAACATTCTACCACCTACACCACGCAGAGCAAAGGCAAAAAACCCATCTGACCTCCAAAGCCAGCTGGTTGGAGGAACTTTCGAGAAGCTGGGAATTTGCTTCAGATGGGCTGGCTTCTATCTCTGTGCCCTTCTGCCATGTAAGCAATTCCTTGACTGGTGGAGTTGGGTGCTGTGGGGTGGGAAGGCTGAGTTTTCTTGACTTGCAGCCTGAGGAGGAGTTGGCAGAGATGCCCAGTTGAGAACATTTTTTCTGGGCCAGCTAGAGATTCAAACGGAGACTAGGCAGATGTTATCATCCTGACTGCTTGGTGTCATTTGTAGTGACACGAAGCCTGCAGGAAAAGAGTGGGGGAAAATTGTGAAATAGAGAGAACCCTCCCTTTTTCCACCCACCCTCTCAAGCACTCCATCCTCTATCTGTGTGTGTTTTGGGTAATGAGTGTCCCATCTGTTGGTGCACTAGCCCTGCTGAGGCCACCTGCTGCAGCTGGAAACTAGGGGAGGGAGAAGAGGGCTCCCAGTGCCTAGGGGTGAGGGGAAGATGGGACATGGATTTCATGTCCTTTGGCTCTGCAGCCTGGTTCTGTTCATTGCTACTGAAAGACGAGGAGGCAACTTTGATCTTCGCGTTCTTTATTCCTTAGGAATTAATGGTAAGGCTGCTAGAACTGGGCCATGGGCATCCAGTAGGAACAAGGCCTTATGGGTCCAGCCCCTCTGATACAATGTGACAGTTGGCATGTTAAAGGCTGCTTGGGTTTCTTTTCTTTTCTTTTTTTTTTTTGAGTTGGAGTCTCACTCTGTCACCCAGACTGGATTGCAGTGGCCTCTCCCAGCCACCACAGCCTCAACCTGCTGGGCTCTGGCGATCCTTCCGCCTCAGTCTGTTCCAGGTGGACTCCTGTGAAGTTCAAGCAGAAGGACTCTATCCTTCCCTGGTTGCTGAGCACAGCTGTCCCTGGTGCTCTCTCATTGATGAAACGGGTTTTGTTGAACGTTCTGCGAGTGGCTCACTGGGACAGCCAGGGGGTGTTGGACTTCCTACGAACTGGTCTCTCTGCTAAGACTTGGTACCAAGGTCCAGAATCTTGCCTTTTGAAAAATAGTGATAGGTTGTTGTTGTTGTTTTGTTTTGCTTTACTTACTTCAGGCTAAGATGGATGCTTGAAAGAGGAAAGTGGAGATGCTGGTATGGAGAAGACACACAGAGATGAATTCATTTTCTTTCCCTTCAGAATGTCTCTTGTAGCTGTGCTTCCATTCTTTCCACGAGGCCCCTCACAGCTGCACTCTGCCTCCTGCTCTTTTTTCCCCTACACATAGACTGTTGAGGCACTGTCCTTTAGCCAAGAGCCCGGCCACTGGTTTCTCACCCTCTGTTCCACTGAGTACATGGTCGCTCCAGCTAACTGGGTGGAAAGCACCACTTCCCAAGAGCCCCAAATCTTCCTTTCCTAAGGAATCATGGTCCATCTTAAAGGCCACAGTCAGGGCCTGACACCACCAGCTCCAGCAGGCGTCTCTGTGTTCTCACTCTTGCCCTCCCTCCTGCCTCCTGGAGCCAGAACCATCTACTTGCTGCAGTGTCCTGTATTTGCCTTAGGGTTTTTAGCCTCCATGGTTCAGCTCCTATCTTTGAAAAGTGATGGTTGCCTTGATTTGCTCTCCCCACCCTCTTCTTACTTTCTGTCTATCCCTTAATGGACATCTCAAAGCTGGGGTCGGGGGGAGGCAGAGTTGTGGCAGGCTGTACCGTCTAAGCCCTCCCACTTGAGTCTTTGTTGTCCATGATGCTTTTTACCTCTGGTCTGCACTCCTGTTGTCCGTGGGTTTATTTTTTGAGTCAAGAACTGGATGTTAGGTTTTTTAAGGGTTGGGACCATATTTTAGACTTTTTTTTTCTTTTTTTGAGTTGGAGTCTCACTCTGTCACCACGACTGGAGTACAGTGGCTGCTCTGGCGATTCTTCCGCCTCAGTCTTCCAAGTAGCTGGAACTACAGGCGCACGCTACCACGCCCGGCTAATATTTTTTGATTTATCGCAGAGATGAGGTCTTGCCAAGTTGCCCAGGCGGGTCTCGAACCCGCGGGCTCAGGCAATCCACTCACCACGGCCTCCCAAAGCGCTGGGATTGCAGGCTGAGCCACCGAGCCCGGTCTAGACTTTTAAATACCTCCCATCAGCATCTGCCATAGCACCTTGCACATAGTGGGGCACTCAAGGCTTATTGGT